CCGCGTCTAAGAACTACAGACTCAAACCCTTATCCTCACCCTGGTGTTTTATGTTTGTCTGGGCGTCACTGTTGAGGTTTGCCACACGACCACAAATTGCCCTGCACTAACAGGACGCCTGTATGCACCTTTTACAACTTGCCCTGCTGACAACAAGTGAGCAGACATGATGCAATAAATTAAGAAACCCAGTTTCAGCTGAATTGTAAACACACTGGAAAGAAAAGCACAGGCGAAGGTGTTACACAACGTAGCAACAATAGATTGTTAGAGGCGCTACCCGGAAAGTATTGGGTTTCTCTGGGGTCTGTGTATGAGGAGAGGTAAGGGTGACACCGGCAACACTTGAGCTGAAAGTTGAAGTGCAGTTTATGATGGTAAAGTGATACTTTGAAAACTGAAGAGACAAGTGTAAGAGTTATGTGACTATTTTAGCCTTTTCCTAAAGGAAAATTAAATGTTTAGTTACGAGTAAATAATTTCTCAGATGATTTCAAAGAATGTTCTTCTGATCATTGTGGAATGCATGACTTTACAAACAGCTTAATTGCTTACTTGGCTCCTAATCTCTTGACTTTTGTGTTTGTCATCGCACACGGACGGTATGGAACGTTACTCATGATATGAATCTCAGATGAGTGACTTATGGGCATGCTTGGCGTAGGGGTTCCCACTCATATGCCCCTCAAGCTGTGTTATAGGACATATTGGCAACGTGACATATTTTCAAACAATACGCTGATAATAAGAGTAATTCCACACCATCCCTAATCATGGTCACATACTTCCACTGCAATGTATTCGCAGTGGAATGACATCAATGTACTTCTGTTCCTGACAAAAACCCTGTTTGTAAGCTTGTAACTGGTTGTACGTGAGGATCACTTGTTTTTAACTGAAGATAACATAACTTTCTACACCAAGTAGAAAAGCAAATGGACTTTCTGATGAAATGTAAAACCTAATGGTACCCAGGTTGTCGGGTGTATAAACAAGGCTTTACAATGTGCAAACCGCATCATCTGTAAATAAAAGATTCTGACCCAGAAAAGCCAGTGGTTGATACTATGACCAGATACCAGCATATGATGGCGCGTGTATCCAGGATGAAATATGGAATATGCAACCTAATACAGGTCAACAAATGAGCTGACTAATATCAGGTAGTTTGACCATTACGTATGTCATTATGTGTTCGACCCGTGAAGTTATAATTGATATTCAGTTACCCACACTTGTCGTCAGAGGCGACTAACGGAATCGGGTGGTCAGACTCGCTGACTTCGTTGACACAATCATGTCATTGTATCCCAATTGCGGTTATTGATGCTCATGCTGTTAATCACTGGATTGTTTGGTCCAGACTCAAGTATTTACAAAGTGTCGCCATATAGTTGGAATATTGTTGAGTTCATCGTTAAACATCAAACCAACCATTATGTGTTCAGTAAAATGTTGGATCAGATTCGACCCCTTACGTGTTGCCGTCGTATATATTTTACATCGCTTCCTATGCGAAAATGATGCAAATTAACAGAAAACGGGAGTTCATTGTTACACTACAGAACTCACATGTAGAGCTGTATATTACCCTGATTCTCATACTGCGATATATTGCAATAATTTAAGAGATATTGCAATACATATTGTGATATATTGACTGGAAGGTTTCTGTCCAAGTGCGAACATCATAAATTCATAATAGCTCTGTGTGTGCGACATCATCTTCTTAGTTGCTGTTACACAATACTTTCAGGCTACCCGTCCCATTGTGTATGGCTGTATGACAATGGTTTACAGATAAACAAAATGTTATAGAGCCTTAATGTGGAGTGTTTAATTGAAGTATTGCAACAACGTTTTGTGAACACAAGGATAAGGTAATAGTATAACATGATTTTCATGGTCAGTGTTGTTTGCTTCAACAGAGTGATCTTCAATGCAGTATGTAATTGTTGTTACTGTTTATCAGTATGTCAGTGATTCATTCAGATTCAACTCCAGTATAAACATGTGTCAACATGAACTATTGCTAAATGAAACCAAAATATCATTTAGGTGGACTACTTGAGTTAAATATCTCATGTGACCTCTAATAACTAAGAAACTTGACTGGAATGTCAATATACAGTCCTTCAAAATTTATAAGACTAAGTCCTTTATCATGTATTGATAACATATGTCCCATTATGAAACAATCAAAAATAATAAAATAACTAGAATTGATAAATGGTCACTCAGAGCCAGAGACTCTACTTATAAGCCCAAAGAAAAAAATTGGTCAATTTGAGGCCACTTAATTCCCCCAAAATGTCACATATGAAACCATTCAAGCCCACAAAACTTAAAGCATTTGGTAGAATATTTGGTACTTTTGGAGCCACCTATAAAGATACTGCCACTTGTAAAATGTTATATAAGACCAACAGTAATATAAGTATATTATACTCTGGATGACCTAATATATTGCAGAATCTGAACCATATCGCGATAATGGTATCGCCAGATATTGTACCGGTATAAACCGGTTTACCGATAATATTGCACAGCCCTACTCACATGTTTTCGAAACATGTGGCGGTACACGGCCTACTGTTGTTGTTTTTTAAGCATTTGCAAACACGTTTCTAATTAAGAACTACAGTTCGCTCTACCACCATGTATAGTGTAATAAAGCATGTAATAGTTCAGGGCAAAAGTGTGCTTTATTACACTATACATGGTGGTAGAGCGAAATGTTTTTCTTTTCTAAGATGCCAAACTTAATACTTTCTAAGGGTAATTAAGATTAATTTAAGGCAGAAAAAAAACGACGGTGTCGGTGACCTAAATTAAGAATCCTCTCACAGGGCTAACTGACGCGCTGTTCTATTGACGTGTCTACGTTAAAGACGAAGGTTACCAGAAAAACAAATGATAAACAGTTTGATGACGGATTACGTTCGGGTTAAATATCTTCTCTAAATTATTTTAATTACATCTCTGATTAACGTAAACCATATGGGGCAATGTGAACGTCGCATTTCTACTACCAACGTAAGTTTAGATCAGTTACATCCGGATGAAGCTGACTAGTCAAGCCACATTCCACGGATGCATTGTGGGAATGTAAACATTGCGAAAGTTACCGTGTCACTGTAAAACTGTGAGTCGAACTGAGACATATTATCCGTCGGAAAACATAAACGCAACGGGATGCAACGAAGAAGTTTACTGTAGGAGGCTGTACAAGGCGATGACAACTGACATGCATCGTGACGTCGGTTACATTGTGACGTATTGCAAAAGTGTTCGATTACGAGGGGGCAGACTAGAATGGCGCAGTGACGCCAATACCTTGTGACGTAATGCAAAAAGTGCACATTATCGTCTGATAAAGTACTGTCGGCGCCTTTGATCTTTCACGGAAGCATCTTAGAATTTTACATTGGGTGGGGGAATGCCAGATGGAAATTCCCTCACAATAACAGTGATCTCATATATGGAGGTAAACGTTTCGGTTTTTGTAAGCATTTGTATAAACCTTTCTTATTTCACATAATCTACGGTTTTTCGCTGTTGAACTGCCAACCGATTGAAATACACAATGCCATTTTAGAAAGTGTTCAAATGTAACATATGTTATATTTTGGGATTACACTTTCTTAGTAAAGTACAGATTCTAGTACTTTATGGGACTCAACCCATAAAATACTAGAATCTGTACTTTACTAAGAAAGTGGAATCCCAAAATATAACATATGTTGCCAACCAATTGTTGAAATATTTTGTGTCTTTTCAAAATGTACATTTATCATTATTACAATGTAATATCAAAATTGAAACAAAGTTCGACAAGAATCGGTACGTGCAGAACAAAATTGTAAAATCAGTCAATGACCGCACAATATCGAATAATAATAAATACAGAATGTTGGAACAAAAGGTATTTATGTTTACAATCACAAAACGCAATACGATAAGTCGGATATGTGGAAGCTGTAGTAAGTATAAAGCCCTATAACTCTGGCATTTATACTCTTGAATGATTAGAATGTATCCACTTGATGCCTAATACTGAAAACATATTCATTCCACCTTTCTACTGGATTCCTATACATATGGTTTAAATCAATGAGCTCTGGTAATATATTTAACTGATAGGCGCCTACACCCTAGTAGCGCAACCTTTACCTCTTTTTAATTCACACTCAACAAACGTGTGGCCCTAGTTCGTCCGGCTTGTGTGTGAATGTGTTTTGGGGTTCTTCCTTACAGATATAATCGTTCTTGCATAGGAACTTTGTTGCCAAAACCTATCTTTGTTCTTGTGCTTATTAATTAACACCATATAGTTACACGTGGGTTCAATTGTGTTGAAACGTCTAAAATTTAACTTTGTGCGCCACTGTCCAATACGACAAAACATATTGCCTTGATCCACACACGAAACTCTTACTTTAAAGATTCAGTTCTATCTGTCAGAGACGAAAACGGTGGTGCTCCACCTCTTGCTGATCTGTGTTTAATAACTGAATCTGAAGTTTTGCTCGAAATCGTAATGTCGAATCAAGCGAATTTGTGACAAAGAAGTGGAACTTGAGCTTCCTTCCATTGTGTGGATGAACGTTCAGCGATGGATCACATCTCACACTTGTGTGAAAATGACAATGCAATTGCCCGATGCAATTCCCTATTTTGAATTGCGATATGTTCCTGTGTGTCTTTCAGGGAAACAATATAATTTACTGTGCATGTGTAAGTCTGGCGGATGAAATTCATACAAAGCTTGGTTTCACTGATTTTACATGATATATATCTCAATCCCCCAAAACCCTGTTATATGTAAATGTATACAGATATGTGTCATTAAAGGAAATACATATTGTTTAAACCATACAATCTGAATCGCTTTTAGCAGAGATGTAATATAACTGTGGAAAGAGTTTTTCGCTTTCGTTGTTCATTTGACGAATCGTGATTTTTGTCATTCATGTAATGACTGATAACATAACACAATCTAAGCCAGTACATTGTTTTTTTCAAGTGATTCTCAAATGATCTGGTATACTTACTTCAGGTCAGGGGGGAAATACTGAGGAAATAGTGGCTAGATTATGTCTTTCCTATCAAAGTGACTAAAGGGTTGATGATATTTTTTATTTGTCAGTGGCCTTTTAGGGAGAACCACGTCATCAGAAAACGTCATCACGGTGGCATAAACGCATTTAATGAAAAGTCGTTTGGCTCCTTTAGTCAGTTTGTAGATGCTTCAATTGTTTCAATACACTCTGATTATCATCTGAATCATCGCAACGTATCAATGAGATTGACTGTATGAGATTAGCTGTCACTGAAATTATTTACTGCAACGCTTTAATTGTAAATCTATTTAGCTTCGCAAACAAAAAATGAACACTCAAACACTACATTTCACTACATTTCAAACATATGATGATTCGTTGTGCGTTACGGAAGAAACGCCATCATCATCAAGGGGAGAAAGACGACGGTCGTGCTGTACATCTTCAGAGGAGACAAGGCAGCATCTACACAAGACAGAACAATACATATATTACATATTCAAGAAATTCAACTTATCAGTGTTGCTAGTGTAATCTTTTGAATAAATAGTATAAATATAATTGTAACATAGACTCCAGGGTCTTGAAATATACAAGATGGACAGCCAACAATATCCGGTTTCATGATACTTACTACATGTAAGAGCTGCAAGTTTCCCTTGTGGCTTGCTGATGATGACAGAGGCTTTGGTTCCAGCCTTGCACGTTTCTCTATCTCCTGCACTTGTCAGACATTCGATGTAGGTACTAAGCGGCCTGTAACACGTTTCGGTAATGTGCTACATTAGTGTATAAAACTCTTACATTTATCATAAGCAATGATTTATGACTTGATGAAGATTTTTTTCATTATGAAAAATATCATTCAAAGGAAGTTAAAGAGAATCCGATGTGTTTCATCATAGTATCCTCGGAAACAAATTCCATTCAGTGTATAGGTCAAAATAGCTGTAACAAACTATATGTCTACTGAAAATTAGTGATGAGCATTATATTATTACAGAAAATATGTGTTTACCCGAGCGTTGTTTCCGGAAAGATCGCTTCCCCACAATGTCCTTTTGGCATGAACAGGGTATGACCAAAACTGGGTCTAAAGTTAAAACAGTAAAAGAACATGCAGCGTCATACCGTTTTGAGAAAGAGAGAGAGGGGAGAAAGAGAGAGAGAGAGAGGAGAGGAGAGAGAGGAGAGAGAAGAAAGAGAGAAGAGAGAGAGAGGGAGAGAGACAAAGAGAGAGAAGAAGATAGAGAGGAGGAGGGAGAGAGTGAGAGGGAAGGGAGAGAAAGAGATAGAAAGAAAGAGAGAAAGAGAGAGAGAGAGAGAGTCATTAAATCCCGATGGCTCTGTACATTTACGCTTGAAAAAAGAGCGAGAAGTTCTGTCTTGTTCATGTTCTCGATTTTATTTTTATTGAAGCTGAAAGAAGTGTGTTATCAAAATAACAGCCACGAAGAGTACTTACTACAAACCGCGTCACTGATTTTCTTGGCTTGAGCTGCTACTAGGTCACATCCAGTGACAAGATGTCATTCTAAGGCTATGACCGAGTACCATAACTATTTCCATAACCAAACACTAAGGGAAACAAACACTGTCCTGACTAGTATTTTATAATTCACCAGTTTTCGGGGAATAACTTATTTGCGTTGCGAATATTATCTCTGCTCGACCAGGATGGGATCTCGGATGGAGACATGACACGTTATTAATGAGAACTAGGATCCTAATTTTTTTTCAACCAAATAATTCCAGTGTAATGTTTGTAGCGGATAATTTATATTTTCCCCCGTCTGAAGCATAATTATTTGACACCTACAGACACCCATTTGACACAAAAGGAACTGCAATCACATTTAAAAAATAAAATTCTTAGGGATTGGTCATATAATTATAAGGGTGGGTTTGCTGGTTGGAACTGTATCACATTTTGCTGACAAATAATATTCTTGTTAAATGATATGGTCTATTTTCAAATCTATTTTGACTTTAAGCTGTGCCTCCGTTTCGCTTGATTCTTCTTCTTCATCTTCACTGGATTGTCTTGCAAGATGTAAAATCGGATCGTATAAATACGCTCTAACATTCATTGTAGAAATGACATCTTTTACTGTTTCATTATCCATGGACACTGTTAAGTTGTGAGATGAAATCAAAGAGGAAGCCATCAGCAACAGGCACATATGACACCATGTCACGTGATATCCCCTCTGCTCATTAACTGTCGGGTTTTTCCGTAATAGACGGAAATACGAGTACGTTTTTTTACTTTTATTGCTATTTTTGTAGATTTTAATCGCGGAAGGTGACTTTTAGAATATCCTTTATAATATATCAAAAGTTTTGTTTTCGTTCGTATTCTCCTTTAAAGTAATGCTTAAATGCTAGGGTATTGTATGATCGCTTCATGTAACATCTTCAGGATTAATCCCCCTGTCCATCAAGAGAGATTTCCTGGCACATTTGTGGAAAAACACGTTTCGTATGAACACGATTACGCATGAAACTGCATGCTTTCCTAATTTATTATAAATGATCGGCATACATGTACTATTCATCAGACTATTCATAAGATGACACACTTCTGGCTGGTATATCATTGATAGTACGTTATGACACTAGATGTCACGAATGAGCTAAGTCGACGTTTAACACATGCCAATTTGAATAAGAAAGTAATTCATCTACAAGTAGTTTATTTAATGTTCGATGAAACGTTGGCACGGAACTTCATGTGGGCGACGGCGGCGTGTTAATGAAACATATGCATATTCTGCAAATATTGCAATTAACATACTGTGTTTGTTTACAGTCTTAAAACGTCATGGTACGTGTCTGTGACTAGTCTTCGGTATTAACATAACAATAAACACGTTCACATTACCCTGACATATTTTCATGATAAGGATGGGGACTACTATTAAAAATATATCAAAGCATGAAAATGAAGCCGATTGATCAATATTTGTTGAAAATAAATGTGTTGTTTCTCGTGCATTTAAATCAGACAAAGGTCATACAAAAAGTTTGAATTTAAGGATCTGATATATCTGCTTCATTATCTATCACCTTATACATGTAGTATGATGGTGCTTATGAAGAGTAGGTGTTATTAGATCTATTCACGAATCCGTTACAATCATGCCATCATGCTCTAACACTGGTACCTTTCTCTACACACCAACAAACAAGTAAAACTAAAGAACAAGCATGGTGCTTTGTTGACAGGAAAACACATCTGACGTCTACCAGGATACGCCACTACAATTTGCTTTGAGGTTGTTACCTTCTGTATCTAGGTTGTACGAGTAAATACATGGCTTTCGGTGCATAACAAGAACGTTTACTGTTCATAACTTTGTGCAGGTTCGTGTGAGGTACCTAGACAGTGACGGGATTAAGATGCATTTCTGACATGAAGTACACAGAAGTTGGCGTACATGGAACCGTATACGTCTCAACATCGGCATCTGTCGGTAAAAGAAGTGATATTGTACACATGCCATAATTCAGTTGATACATTGCTGAATAAGAATTGCTGACTGGAAAATCCCTCCTCTCTGATTGTCGTAACATAACCCTACGAGCGAGGCACTGAACATTATTTTAACGAGGGCATATTTCCCGTAATCACTCGTACCGAGTTGGTTATTCTATTTATTACCCATAATGTAATTTAAGGAAAAGAACCACAAATAAAAAAACACACCCGGAAACAGACTTGTGACCTCAAACAGCTGATTCGTATACCTGCGCGTATTAAACTCCAGTGGTAATAACATAACTACGCTATGGAAAATAGTACCACGTAAAATCGCTTTAAAATACAACAAAATATTTTTATGGAATAATTTATTAACATTTGTTAATATGATAAATTGATCTTTTAAATGCAACATCATTGAACGTAATAACAACTAAAACGTTGTTTGATCAAGTCAGTGCGCCGGAACATCGTTCATTCACGACTTACGTGTGTCTAGTGACAGGGTGACGGTGTAGTGTTGAAGCACACACTTTGGCAAAAAACTGTCAATTTGGGGAAAGTCAACGGTTAAAAGTTTGGAAATCTAAAAGACAACCATCCCACGAATTCGTCCAAAAAAGGATTTCTATCAACAAACCCAACAGGTTTGAAGATTAAACAAACATTTTGTTCTGTGGAAGGCGTGTTACAGTCACGTCATTGGTCCCAGTACAGTACAGCAGTTCCAAGAAGGATAACTCTATTCGGAATCCGAGTCAATGAAATGTGTCAATCTCTGCATCGGATACTGGGACAAACCTTTCGGATAGATTAGGAATGCGTGGATCAAAAAGTCATTTAGCACTGATTCCTATAAGAAAGAAGCTGTTTTCTGGTTCGGTGGCATGGGCGCCGTGGCAGATCGACTCACTTGTCACACTTAAGGTAACGCCTATAGCATCTTGCTGATTCTATTTCCCCGAATTCAGTTTTAACAAACAGGTTGTAGAAATTCAAGGGCTATAATATTCTTATCAGTCTTCCTATTAAGTCACCGTCAACTTTAGTTCATTGACGTTGATCGTTGGCGGCCATGTTTGTTTACAAACAATGCAAACGATTGTTTTTGTTTTTTTTCAGGTTATTTATTTTAAAAAGACTATTATTTATAACGCAATTTCATTGCAAAAATGATGTCTAATTAAAAGAGTATTCATATTCTTTAACCTTTATGTTTTCTGTTAATTTAATTTCGGAATTTGTGAGTACACCACGTTCTTATTATCAATGAAACGTTAAAAGTTGTCAATGAACTTGGATCGTGAAAAGTAGTTCCGTCAACCAATCATATTTCTTCTCTGCTTAGCTGACCAATCAACGTTGAGAATCACTGAAAAGCACATGTGCGATTATCACAAAAATAATCACCTGTGTATCCTAGCCCGTCTGGGTAATAATCATTTATAGGTAAGGTGTTCGCTAACAAATCTGTCTGTCTGAGTTGTGCTTCAATGAGAATTCCATATGATCACAATATCAGTACGGCCAAGAAATAAACCTTTCACCACCTTATGGTTCTGATGATCGTTTTTATTTGTTTTATGGCGTCCCTCTGGCCAAAGAGAGTCCTTTGGACAAGGGGAAAAATCCCGGAAATTTTCCCATGAAGCGATCGTACAATACCCATGTATGTCAGCATTGCTTTACAAGAAATTAAACCTCGTCACCATGCGCACCATGTTAGGTAGTATCTATAACATATGGCTCATTTATATTCATGCTGTTTATTAATGTCTGCTTAGGTGTCTCATATTTTGCATAAGAAAAAAACACCTTTTGCTTCGAGTGCTTGGTTTACAATCATGGCACCGAACGGGCAAAGGAGATAACAGTTTGTAAGAAGCTGCTTCTTCTTCAGCATTAGCTATTGAAATGCCAATAATTTAACATTTAACTACACAACATTTAATGTATAACCTGCTAAGAGCAATGATATTTACTGTCAATATCCATGCACGATATGAGAGTAAAGTGTCACTCCTCTTCAATAGATAGTAATTAAATACTTAATTATACTAGCCACATAAAGAAACTGTGCACACAGAACATTCCTTCAGCATTGGAATACAACACAGAAAAGACGAAATGATGTAGACACTTTATAAGCTGAAGTATTGGACCACAACAACATGTCAAAAGAACATGAACAATATCCGTAACGATGACGTCAGAAGTTCAAAATTGAGTAGGGGGTCACATGTCGGAGTCACAAAGTCATTAACGGGTTTGACCATCATGCGCGTGAAGCACAGCAATGCATCGTCGACGCATAGAGGCTACTAAATGAGCATTGAAGGCCTGGGGAATGGTTTGGGACGTGGTCACTGCCGTCTGGAACCTGTGTCTGAGATGAGTCACCCGAATCCATCTGTCCTGTCTTGGCGTCGTTACTCGGGGACGCCCAGAACGTGGGTGGTCGGCGACGTCATTACTGTTTCCATAACGCCTGACCAATGCAAATATCGTGTTACGATGGCATTTGAAATGTGCTGCCACCTGTTGTTGGCTCATGCTTGCTCATGCCTGCTCGAACCATTCCAATGGTTTCATGACGTTGAGCAGATGTTAATCTTGGAATGATGTGCATGTGACTTCTCATGTGAATTTGTGAACGTTTGAATGACCAAAGATCAAGCTTTCGACAGTGACAGCAATTTCTGAGTTTCACATGTTGTGTGCAGCTGCAGAGGCTGCACGTGCAGTAACACATTGTAAGTCCATAGGCCATCATCAATGACGTCACGTCGCCTGGCACCTGCATGAGCGTTTGATTGTCTCCAATACTTGCTATGTTCACACCTTTATTTATGTATAAAGACGCTGTCTGCCTATCTTTATATTTTCTGTGTGCACAGTTTCTTTATGTAGCCAGTATAGTTAAATAACACATTTTCATTTAAAAATGCACCCATAAGTGTTTAAAATGATATTTTAAGAGGGGAAATGTCTATACATATAGCTAAAGCCAAACTTCTTGGCCAAATTACCTTGTTTTGACCTTGCCTACAAGAGTCATATGCATAAAAAAAAGGAATATGCCAGGAAGGGTGCACAAGAGTGTCCATGTGTCCATCCCGCCAATTGGGAACTCCAACATGTCACAGATTATTGATTATTTTCAGCAAACTACAGATAGCAACCTTTTATCAGTAGTGCGTTAAACCACTGGCAATCTACAAAAGGATATCACAATCCATAAGGCTGGTACAAATATATTAGTTTTAACAGGATATCATTAATTTTATCAAAGATTTATTTATTACGTTTTCAACGGACGTTGTCTTTTGAACCTTTTTTACAGATTTAGATGCCCATATGTATTGACAATAGGGCGAAGGCATACCACAATCTCAACGAAATGTAGACCGTCGTACTAATAGTAAACGAGTATCTCTGATATCTTCAGCTTTATTACAGGTTTGATGTTTCCAGTAAATATCAATACCCTTAACAGGTTATATGTTTCATGTAAAAGCTGACGCTAGAGTTGAAGCAGCATCTGACAAACTGTTGTCTCCTTCATATTTCGGGTGCAATGATTATATGCAAAAACATAAAAAACAAAAGTTGTTGTTTGTCTGCTGCGCAAAAATGGCACATACAAAGAATCATAAACGTACTGCATGAATTCACGTGAACGATCGATCATAGCTATTACCTCAGGAGAGTTTGCAGATGATGACGAGGAAGAACGTATGCTTAAAGTTATGCAAGGGTATTGTACGATTGCTTCATGTAACATCTTCATGATTATTTCCCTTTATCCAAATTACACTGTATGGGCCATCAAGAGAAATTATTGAAGGCTTCGCCAAGAAAATAAATGATACTAGTATATAAATAAATATGTTTTGTGCTTGCTGGTCCATGGTTCACACTCCACAATATCCAAGTTCTTATATGACAGCATGCAGCACATTATCGAATCTGGACTAGACAAACCAGTGAGTGATAGTATGAGCAACATCCAACACCGGTGCCTACAACGACCCCTTGCGTTGCTTCAAAAGATTATCAGTGGTTGTAGGGGACCAAAATTACTGAAAATACATGTATGATTATGTCATTATCAGTTTTAGCTGGGGTACCGAATGACGTATTAGGCTTGGATGCGCTGTTAAATTGATGTGAAAATGCCTTTTCACTGAATTACGTGCTCACTATCCTGTGTTGCTAAGGTAATGGTGATGCGTAACATTTCAGTGTCCAGTCAAGCTGGGATTTTCCTGGCACATTTGTGGAAAGACACCTTTAGAATCAACAAGAATACACATGAAACTGCATGCTTTCTTATTTTATTATATATGATTGACATGCATGAACTATTCATCAGACTATACATACTTATAAGATAACACACTTCTGGCTGGTTGGTGACACTCACTGTCACTGTAGATAAGAAGTAGATAACATTTACTCTGTGTCAGTGGTCACTGGGGGACAGGTCCACGTCATCAGTAACATGTCATCAACAATATATGTGTTGTAAACTCAACCTTTGTTATTGTTGCCTATGTTGTATACGGCCTGTGGCTATAGACAATAAAAGAGACTTTGACTTGAAAAAACAAAACAAAAAACAAACAAAAAAACAAACAACAACATGTCATCAATAGCCTCAAGATAACCAGGGGAAAATTTTGTCTTCTTATCTGCAGTGAGGTAATTACATTGTCATGAAGCAGACGAGGACCAGAATCACTGATTGGCAGGCCAGAGATATGTGTTTAGATAATTATGTTGAAGAACTTTTCAAATTGGTTATTCGGATAATTCTTTAATGTCATCAGACAACACACCACGTATCTCCTGTCCACTAAGACTAACGTATAACACACTTATTGATGCTGCAGTAACCGCTTTCAATACCTTAAACACAATTAATCAATCAAGTATATACACAAAATGTGTCTAATGTTCACTCCAGAGAAAATAAACACGTCTAACACAATGTATGTCCTTGTGGTCTTCAGTTGAGGCTCAGCTGTGTGAGGACAGCAACAACAGCAAGCATCCATATGTGCACCGATATCTTAGCAGCACCAGATGCTGAAATAAAGTATATTCATGTCAGTGTTTTACCTGTACCGTCTATACATTGTCATTGATTCAGGCAATAATAATCATTTCAGAACTTTATAAAATAGAAAAAAAATAATTTCTGAAGGTGTGTTGAAACACAGTTCTCCTCTTTCATTACCAATTTCCCTGCTACTTCTACTTAAATGACAATCAAGTAATCATATTCCAAATTATCCGCCACCCAATACCACTCAATCATGAAATCAGATTCAGAAGGAAGCAAAACCTTTTTCACCATGGATTCATTTCATGTGACGTTTTCTTAAGGATCGTTGAAAAATAGTTCTTTACCACTTGAAGATGGGCGGAACCAAAACAGTTAACGTGATACGCTGTCACGGGGTACATACTATTTACATATATACTTTACTGAAGTATATTGAGCAAAACGAAAATCTTCCTTTCTATTTAACGAGGTTTAAATCAAACGGATTTGAGAGACAATATTGAAACAGGACAGATTTCACATCAATCGAATCTATTTGTTTGCTCTTTATCTAAAAGTCCATCCTGTTGCAACCAATGGCACTGGTAGGAGTGATGTGCCTCATGAGCGCACAAGGAACCATAAACAAATGAGTGACAGAGTATTGTACTCAAAACGATATACATGATTTCACTTATGAATGATACATTCTTTGATTCTATCGATTACGTTTAGATACCTGATGCGGTTCCTCGTCCCGTGCATCTAACAATAACAAGAGAGAACCTACCGTTTTCACATCTGTCTCCATCCCAGCCAGGTTTACATGTACACTCAATGGAGTCGTCTTCAACTTCACACGTTCCTTCATTCTGGCATGGGTTGTTGTCACAGGACACTTTCAGAAATTATACGTAAAAAAGCACTAGTTACTTCGCATATTGAACGAAACATATCCTAACTTTTTTCCTAAACTAGAAACTAATTTGAAACGCATTACATTATAGCGTTCAACTTTCAATTTACGGAACCCAGAGCAAGTTCCATACATCTGACAGCGTTGAATGTATGTCTCACAGCAACAACATTAAACATGTCATTAGGATTTTTGTATTATCGTGTTGGATTCATAGTAAAAAGAACCCCATGTAGACTGATACATAAAGGAAATCAGATGTGTTAGAAATACAATAATATATTAAAATCCTTTAACGATATACATACATCTATTTCAAATGACTAATTTTGTACAAATATATTGTTTCCAATATATATTTTGAATAACTGTATCCGGTATGGTATGAGCATATATAGTGGTTATTCAGATGTATTTCTAATATATTTATAGATTTACATTAGGCATATATTACATGTATGTGTGGCCAGGTGCACCTGAATAACTGCAGGGAATTGCAGACCATATAATAACGGAGTGTCTTGATTCGGAGCAGATGCGCTTCAACAATAAAGCATATTTTTCCACAAATTATCTTTGGCAAAGATGATCTATATGATGATACCTTTATTGCATGTGTCGCCCCCATAACCTGGCGCGCAGTTACAAACATACTGGCCACTGGTTTTGTCACAGGTTCCACCATTGAGGCAATCTGCATCAGCAGTGCATAGTGGCTCTGTAACACGGAATGCATAATAAGTTACAATGGGGTTTTAAAATATTGCAACAGAGCAGATCCACGGGACTCTAAGACATAGCACTCACTATTTAATATATCTAGTGATTTTCCTTTTTATACAGCATATATATAATACTTCTTATATATATATATATATATATATATATATATATATATATATATATATATATATATATATACATACATATATATATATATGTGGACATACTTAGATTGCATGTGTCGCCTCCATAACCATCGGTGCAGTCGCAAACATGCTGGCCACTAGTTGTGCTTTTGTCGCAGGTTCCACCATAGAGGCAATCTGTATCAGCATCGCATAGTGGCTCTGTAACACGGAATGCATAATAAGTTACAATGGGGTTTTTAAATATTGCAACAGAGCAGATCCACGGAACTCTAAGACATAGCACTCACTATTAAATATATCTAGTGATTTTCCTTTTATACAGCATATATATAAATACTTCTTATAAATTGACAGTACTAGTAGCACAATGAAAACAAGTATAATTCAGACACATTGCGTTACCTATTTACGATGGAAACAATTCTTTAATAAAAAAGTTTTCTTTAGCTTTACGCTGCATGGCGTCAGCAGTATTCATTTTATAGAAAGGGAATATTTTAAATTTTATTTCCTTTCCTGCTGCGCATTTGTCGATGTGAGCGCTTAAGGGGATGCACCTTGCTTTAGGGTCCTTAATCTGTTGTTTATGGACGCGCATTCTGTCCCTCAAGCACTCAGTTTGTCCAATGTATTCTTCATGACACCCTTGGCATATAATAACATAAATAATATGTTTTGCGGAGCAGTCCATGTTAGAGCGTACATGAAATAATTGTTTCCTGTTTTTGAACTTTATACATGAAGTTTCAAGAATATATTCACGAGTTCCACAATTTCCCCGTTTACATTTTGAGACACTGAATTCTGTAGGTTTAATACATGAGTCGAATGTGGCACGTGTCAATATGTGTTTTAAGTTAAGGCTTTGGCGTTTACTCTTTATCATTGTTATATTAACCATAATTCGATTCATTTTCTATAATATAAACTCTGTCAAAAAAAAGAAACGCAACCCTGTATTTTAGAGATTTTGATCTGAAGTTTTAGGACGACACGGCATTTTTATTATTTAAGACAGAAGTCTGAAATTTGGCAGAATAATAACCCCAGATGGGCATGTTTAAAATTGTCATTTCAAAAGTCATCTCACAGACACCAGTTTGTCACCAGGGGGCGTCTTTCTCAGTATCTCGTATGAGCACCACGCGCTGCAATCACTGCACGGCATCTCCTTGGACAAGAACGGATAAGACGCCGGATTCTTTCCTGGGGAATGGCTCTCCACTCCTCCTGCAGTGCAACGGCGAGCTGTTGCAGCGTCTGTGGCGGCGGCTGACGTTGACGTACGCGTCGATCCAGAGTATCCCACAGGTGTTCAATAGGGTTGAGGTCTGGTGATTTAGAGGGTCATGGCAAGACATTGACGTTGGAATTCTGCAGAAAGTTCATTGTTGCACGTGCAGTATGAGGCCGGGCGTTGTCCCGTTGAAAAATCTGTGTCTGTTGGTCAATAATCGGGAGAAGGTGAAGCTCTAACACGTGGTTGATGTAACGTTGGGCTGTCAGGTTCCCTGGAACGATCACCAAGTCTGATTTCTGGTTGTATGAGATGGTTCCCCAAACCATGACGCTTTCTCCGCCAAATCTGTCCACCTGTCGGACGCAGATGGGCGCAAAACGTTTATGACGTCTCCTATACAGACGCTGTCTTCCGTCGTGACGTTGCAAAAGAAAACGTGATTCATCAGAAAACCAGATTCGCCTCCAGTTTTGTAAAGTCCGTATCCTTACGTTGTTGCACCACCTGAGTCGTCGGCGTCGATGTAGGGGGCGTAGTACAGGTCCAACAACTGGTCTACAGGCACGTAAACCCGCTTCTTTCAGACGGTTCCTAATCGTTTGAGCTGACACTCTCCTCAAACCTGGTATTTGTGTGGCAGTCACGGTTGGTAGGGCATGCCGATTACGCAGGTGATGGACCCGGATGTACCGATCTTGAAGGGGGGTCGTGATTCTTGGCCTTCCACTTCTCTCGGGCGATCGTTGGTCAAATTGAAGTTGTTGTAGCGGCTCCAAAGTCGGGATATCGTTGTTTTGTGAACATTTAGGTGCCGTGCAACAGTTCCAAAACTTTCTCCGGCTTGAACACGACCAATGGCGATATTTCGGTCGGCAGCACTCAATCGTGGCATTTTAACACAGCTTTCGGCGACAAATGAATGAATATAATACGGAAGCACATGGGCTTTTATACACCCCTACATTAACTGCCATTTTCATGATTTGCATGTGTTTTTTTTGTGCGAAGTCACCATGAGGGTCATTTCATGCGTTGTGACGGAATAAGCAATAAAATACACTTATGCGTACAAATGCAGTTGTTTGGATGGTAATCTTCATTAATTACGTGTATCATTTCAATACATTCGAATAAAATTTAGTTTGGAAGCAATAACTTCATTCAAACGAATTTTTCATATCTGAGGACAGGGGTTGCGTTTCTTTTTTGACAGAGTTTATATTATATATATGTGTGTATATATTATATATATATATATATACATATATATATATATATATATATATATATGGACATACCTAGATTGCATGTGTCGCCTCCATAACCATCGGTGCAGTCGCAAACATATTGGCCACTAGTTGTGCTTTTGTCGCAGGTTCCACCATTGAGGCAATCTGTATTAGCATCGCATAGTGGCTCTGTAACACGGAAGGAATATTAATAAGTTACAATGGGATTTTAAAATATAAAATGCAGATGCGTGACTTTTGCTTTATAAATACTCTCTGAACAAGACACACCGGTGTTTGAACCAACCAATGATCTCAGTACTGATCTTATACACCGATCGGTATGTACGGTATCTGATTGACAAATTGCTGAGATACTTGAGGAAGCAATTCCTATAATATTCACTAAGTCTGTTTGGCGTTTATTGTCTCATGCCACTCGCAGCACCATTCCAATTATTATATGACAGGATTCAGCTCATTATCGAATCTGGCGATACGAGAGATAATATGAGCAACAGCCACACCGTCGCCTACGATGATAAGAAATCACCCAACTGAATAACCATTTAACCTAGTGGGTCCCTTCAGGGATTCATCGGAGGTACATGTATGCAGTGGCGGATCAGAATTACTGTGATCATTTCACAATCAGTTTCAGTGTTATCAGACATTGCATGAATGCTGATACTGATATTGTTATGCCACAACGCTGAGGACCTAAAGTGACAAGCACCTCACAAGGTTATGAAGCTGATAAGAAAAAAAATCACTGGCAGGCCCGAGATATGTGTCCAGATATGCTGATTGTCCTACTTGTTTGCATTCTTTAATGTCACACATGTTATAACATCTGCTATATTTGGGATTACACTGTCTTAGTAAAGTACATAAACTACAGTCCTTAATGTCATCAGAAAAAGACGCGTGTCTGTTCATTAGGCCTACTTTGCAACATACTGACTGATACCACTGTATTCAGTAAATAAAACGGAATTAATTAATCAATTATGAACGCATTATGTACCTAATGCTAACAAGTATGGTATTTGTAGCAGTCCTATGCATCATGTACACACATGGAACTACACGGAAACTGTTTCTAGTCAACTTATTGTACTCTTTGACATCATGCTCTAATGATGATTCTACATATCTTTGATTCTATCGGTTAGGTTTAGATATTTGATGCGATTCTTCACCCCGTGCATCTACTGATAACAATAGAGGACGTACCGAGTTGACATCTGTCTCCACCCCAGCCAGGTTTACATGTGCAGACAATAGAGTCGCTTTGAACTTTACACGTTCCTTCATGCTGGCATGGGTTCTTGTCACAGGAAGCTTTGAGAAATATGAAGTTTACAGATATCAAATTATGCACAATAGTTTATGGTTATACAACAGATAAATCTGCATTAGGTGCTTAGCGTGAAGAATAAAACGTGCAACTATTTTTTTTCGAAACTCGACACGATTTTGTAACGCACTTTCTTGTATCCGCCAACAATCAGTATTTAGAACCTATACCAAGCTCCATAGATCTCATAGCGTTAAATGAATATCTAACACTAAGTCAGATTAAACAGTAAATGATAGACATCCCAGGTAGACTAACATCTAAATGAAAATAAATGTATTAGAAATACATGATCTATATGGAAAATTTAGATTTCACCAAACATGTTGTTCCCAGGAATGGATAAGTGCTTCAGGAACGCTATGAGAAATATAAAGTGATTATTTTGGCCTATTCCTCATACATTTATTGAGTAACATTGGTAAGTATTATGTTGTCAATTTCGTGAATACCTGCAAAGAATTGTAGATCAAACGATAACATCAGATTGCTTGCATCAAAGTAGATTCACTTCAACATAATTGTTCCACAAATTATCTGTGGCTAAGGTGATCACCACGTACATACCCTCATTGCATGTGTCGCCTCCATAACCTGGGGCGCAGTCACAAACATACTGGTCACTACTTTTGTCACAGGTTCCATCATTGAGGCACTCTGCATCATCCGTGCATTTTGGCGCTGTAACAAGGAATGCATGAGAAGTTACCACAGAATATGATATTTAACTTGGAGCTTCATTCCTATAAATACTCGAGTCTGAACCAAACAAGCAAGTGATTCAACCTCTTAACTAAGACCGATTCTGGAACCTACAATGAGTTGTTCCCGTAGTTTTATTGCTAATGTAAACCCCCCTGTAAAAGTTCACTGAGGATCAGTGATTTAGCCACATTCAGATATATTTAAAGAAAAGACTCCATGGAAAGGTCTGTGCATACTTTAGATTAAATTATAGTTCAGTGATGTTAAAACCACCACGTTTGAAATAATCGCGTTTCTCACTCACAGGAACATAACGGTTAACTATCATAACTAGTTCGTAAGGCTTTGACAATTCCATTGATTAATATACATTTGTAATCCAGTAGTGACCCATATACATTTTCCTTTTAACAGTAGCTAGTTCCGTTGTGGGGCAGTATGAGTACCTAGTCAGTGACACAATAAGGAAGGTTCATGTCGCAACCAGCAATGTTTCAGCTATATAATGGTCTTCTGTAAGTAGGGATACTTTGACCACACAGTGCATTGATTGACATCGTCAGGTCCCTTAATATCCTTGTTAAGTGACACTATATACAGGTGCATTTGCTTTTAGCTTATTATGCTTCCTTTAGGAACTATCAAATAATCGCACCCTTGTGGTATGCAGCACAATATAACAAACATTGGAATGAACGATATGTTTACCGAGGTCACATTTATCTCCACCGTAGCCAGCTTCACAAGTACAGACATCTTTAGGAGGGCTCGATGAATCAGGTGCACAAGTTCCTTTGCCATTACATGGATCAGATAGGCATGGATCATCTGAAATAAATTGTTGACCGTCATATGTTAATCGCTTATGAACAACTTCTACCCATTTAATAGTTCTTACACCTTTTCATTTCTTGGCACTAAACGCGACGTCTTATGAGGCCACACCAGATTCTAATGCACTTATTTAAAAAGGAATTAGTATATCTGTAGATAAGCAGTCACATTGATATGACCACAGATCGTATCCGTTGCGTGGTGAATAAAAGTTTGGCCCGAACAGTGGTAAAGAGTCTCTGTGCCCTGACGTCTCTGTGCCCTGATATGCTATCTCAGTGGCTGGTACAAAAACCGTTCAGATCGGTATAAACAGCATGTACACGTGCATGTGCGTCACCATGTAATTGAAATTCAGAATTATAAAACCCAATCAATATTAAGTCCATAGTAAATATCTATCTCTGTCATTAAGATGTGTTGCTGTCAAATTGTGATGGTGCCAGGTGTTCGCGAGAAAGTGAAAATATGAAGAACTGCATTGGACGCGATTCTTGTAGCTGAAATATCGTCCACGTCAACCATAAAACGCTATAAACGGGTTACCAAGGCGTTGCAAGCTGTAACAGTGTTCAGGAAACTTGTTAGCATGCGTCATATGACTCACTTTGCCATCGTCCTGAAAAGAACGCCTGAATTTTGGAATAATACTTTTCTCAAGCATATGTATAGAATAATAAGCTTGTGGGGTGTTTTATTGGTGATCATTGGTGCTTCAAAAAACTAAAGACGCCACTGCAATGTATACAACTTTCTCAACCTGACTTGACACCAGTATATATGTATTCACATATTCATACCTGGTACCGAATGCTGAAGTTTGTACAGTCTCAGACATGACCGAATATTACAGTATAGGATCTATGTACACAGTAACAATGACAAAACCACAACAGTTACAGGTCTTCTCAAAGATACCAAATGAGAGAAAATATATTTAATTTTGTGAAACGGGTCGACTGTCATTTAAACGGGAAGATTTACTTTAAATTGTGTTTTATGAAATATCTGATAAATCTAAGAACATATATATCCTTTGGCTTCTCGATGCCGTTAGTTTCATCGAACATCCAACTCCAGCCTATGAAGTCAGCCACATGCGATGTCATTCACTGTATCGTGAGTTCGTCTCACGACTGTGAGAGTTAATGCACTGAGATAGAGACTGCTTCAGAAAATTACTATTAATTTGTGCTTTTCGAGCTGTTTTTACCTCAAGTGACTTCCGGCTGGAGCTCTACATGACATTGTTGGCATGAACCGCTTATAAAAATATTAACATCGTCAGTCGCAGATGAGATTTTCCGGGCGTCGAATACTCAAGAAAAACCGACAGTCTGTACACATGTGGGATGTGCAGTGAACGTTAAGTAATAAATACATGTATATACACACATTAACATTATAAGCTTGAACATTTTTGGTAATATACACTATCCTCCTTTAAAGTTTCAAAGAAATGGTAGTGCTAAAGCGCGTGCTCATTTACAGTTGAATCACAAGTCATGATACTTCCCTTTTAACATGACCAGAAAAGGAACATGTATTTAAAGCTGTACACACGTAAAAGCCATGAGTGAGTGAGTGAGTGTGTGAGTATAACATTACGCCGCACTTGGCGGTGGTCTGTAAATAATAGAGTCTGGACCAGACAATCCAGTAATCAACAGCATGAGCATCGATATGCGCAATTGGGATACGATGACGTGTGTCAACCAAGACAGCGAGCCTGACCACCCGATACCGTTAGTCGCCTATTACGACAAGCATGGGCTGCTGAAGATCAGTTCTAACCCGGCTCTTCACGGGTTAAAAGCTATGAGATTTGATTCAGTTATTTTTGTACATACAGCTGTATGTTACCAATATCTCATGTGTTAGCTGTTTCGTATTTATTTTACCAAACTTAGTTTTGATAAATATTGACGCGATGGTCCCTCCTCTGTGTTTGATTTAAAAGTTGCAGGAAATTGTCCTTGATCCTCATTTGTCGATTTGCATTTGTATGTGCAAATTGATGCTTAAAAATACATTCCCATTATCAAAAACCGTTCCAAAGGAAGGTTAAGTCCATATGCTGATTCCGATTATATAATGAGCATATGTATACGAATCGTCATCACGCAGAGAAGATATCGATGCTTCCCAAACAAATAAAACTGTATTTTAACCTTACGTTGTAATCCTAGGATTTTTAGTCCCAAACGCTGGCCTAAAACTTTGTTTCCTAGTTCTATTTTCGTTCTCAGTGTTTGTCATAAACCTTAATAAGAATGAATGTGGGTTACCATGTTGGCATGTGTCACCGATGTAACCAGATTCGCAGTCGCACTTGTTATCCGAGTCACAGGTTCCGTGCCCGCTGCATGTGGAGTCTACACTGCAATCAGCCATACTGAGTCTTCCGCACATGCTTAAAACAACGCCTGGAAAAAAATGTGTTCAGTCATTTTAAGAATGTACTTGCTTTCTTTTTATCACTTATGACAATACATGTCGAGTCTGTCACAAACATGACGACATGTGACAGGAATACACACATTGTACTTGCATGTTTGTTTCATTTTATGTTTGAATGATAGTTCTAAACTGAAGTTGAGATTAAAGATTACACGTTACATGATATAATGTATCAAACGATTATACATTTAATTAATGTTGTGTGAATAATTTAGTTCAGGCTTCCTTCATGTTCGTTCCAGCTAGCATACATTATTAATGCACCAAACTCTAATGAAAATAAAGTTTCAGATAGTGAATAACAGTTACGATACATCCACGAAGCGGCACTTACCCAAGAACAAAACCGTTTGTGTAAGACCTTTCATGTTTGGCAACAACAGCCGTTCACTCCTCTCTAAGACCTCTACACGTCCAGATCATGTTGCGACTGTCTTTTATACAGGGAGGACGTCATAGCGACCAATGTTGATTTCTGCGTTCGCCACAGGTTTGCAAGGTGCTAAGAAAGGCTCGAGTGATATGTATTTTCAAATCCCCATAAATCTGTCAACTCATGACATCTAAACACAATTTGTGGTGTGCAGTGAAACGTTTTCCTGGTCGCATGCTACAAGTTCTTTACTACAGATCGTACCGTGTAAAGGCACCTTTATCATTGTATCTTTACGGTGGTACGTGTTATTTTATGGCTATCATTATCCCAGTAACATCTTCAATGCAATGGTGTCGTGGATACGGCATCTGTCTTGCACATCAAAGACCCGGGTTTGACACCTGGGCTGAAACATTTGCGTGGTATCAAAGAACAAGGTACCTCCGTCCACAATGTCTCAGTCCACCCAGCTGTTAAATGGATGCCCATGATGTACTGACAATGTGAGCCATTAGCTCTTTAAGCACCAGGCAGCGTGGATGTCTGGTCCCCAAGGAGTTGAAAATGTATCGGAAGGTACAATGGTCTTCAAGGACAGAGATACTAATGTACATATCACCTTGTGCAGGCATAAAGCACGGATATGACATTAATACAGCATTTATAGGCACTGATACAGAAAAGGAAAAATTAATTTGAACAATTGAGATAAAAATCAACTCTTGAAACAGAGACTGCTGTCACACTGGCTTAATGCGAGGGTTTCACTATGATCCCGGCGGCCACGGGGGGGTGGTGGGGGGGTGGGAGACTGAATGAGCAGACATGACAGTCCGTGATTGCAATGGATGCCGTGCCAGATTTTTAAACTGTTCCAAAATTTGCCGCGGCAGTCATGGTACTAATGAGAAACCTTGTAGGCCGTAGTAAACCGGGGGGAACGCAACAAAACGTCACAGCACGTAATAGACCGTAACAAAACTTGTAGACGGACTGTAGTTGTTGAATGTATGGGCACGTCTGTTTGGCGTTTTGTCACGGTTGTTTCATCCTTGCTGCCCGTTTTGTCCCGGTTCTCATTGCAAGCTAGGTTATATGGTAGCTGATTCGTCCCATTCTATCACGACGCATCCACGCATGTGACGGTTTACAGGGCTGGCGAGATACGGCACTTTGCATTCTCTGGCATTCCCTCTCTGCAGCTGATGCTGGCCTTCTTGCTGACGCATGGACTCAATGTATGCCCAAGCAGACATACAAACACAAAATCTTCTTCATCTTGGGGGTTTATGCTTTTCTTGTCTCT